GCCCCCCCCCCCCCCCCGCCTCTGGGCACAGAACATCCTACGCGTGCACCCACACTTGTTCCCTAACGTGAACACTGCACCCACCTCTGGCCTTGGAGATCCTGGAGCACCTGGGCAGGATAATCGCAGAGCAGAGACCTCCCTCATCAAGTCCCAAGTCCCAGGAGTCAGGGCGCTGGAGGGTGCCTGACCCTTGCATAGGAACTCCTGCCCTCTCCCCCTACGCCCCACCTACTTGCCATCTCCATCGCTGTCCCAGGCATCCCTCCCAAAATGCAACCCAGAGACTCCTGATCCTCTGCCTCTGCACCCTGTGCCCATCCTGCCCCCAGAAGTGGGGACCCAGCTCCCCTCCCAGGGGCACCAGCCCAGAGGGCCCAGCTGCCTTCTCCTGGTGGGGGGAGCAGGCTCTGGGGGGCAGGAGGCCCCTCTGCAGGGAAGGTGGGAGCCACGCAGACCACAAGCACCAGCCTGGTTTCCAGCCTCCAGCTCCTCAGCCTCCCAGCGTGCAGGAGGCAGACCCCCCTCTGAAGCAGACCCTGGGCCGGAGGCTTAAAATGAAAACCTCGTTTTCCACTGGAATGTAACAAGTGCTCATTCCCGCCTCCACAGCTCTCCCTCAGGAAGCAGCAGGAAACCTCCACTCGCACACCTGACACGTGCAATCCTGGGTTCCACACAGAGCCCGCCCCACACCCACTTCAGGGCATGGTGTCTGAAAGCAGACCTGAGTGCAGGGAGCACGCGGACACGGTCGTGAATGACCGCAGAGCAGACATCGATCTCACTGGAGCTCGCAGGAGCACACCAGCAGGGACAGGACGGCGGGGGGCCGTGGCCCACCTGGCTTCTAGGACCCCTGAGAATCCACAAGTCTGTCTGTAACCGCCATTCCACATACACACGTCCCCTGGAGCCGGCTGCCGTCCGGCGGAGGGGCACGCCGACCCTCACAGGCCTTTGTCTGTCTTTGAAAGAAGGCCGTCTGTGGGAGGCCACCAAACACAGACAGGGAGGGTTTCAGTTACTGTCCCTGCAAGTCTCCGGGCAGATGGGCAGCATTCAGGAAACACAAAAGAGACACTCTCTGTTCCCAAATAAAATGCAAGCCATTTCAAAGGTTTGCTTCAGTGTATCTGCCCCATTCAACTGGGCTCCTCCCCTCCTCCTGCCCACCTGCCTGTCTGGGTCCCACACACCACGGAGACACCACTGTGACCCGAAAGCACCGCGCCTGGTGTCAGCTTCCCCAGCAACATGCGTGCCGGCGGAGGCTCCGAGGCTGCCACCAGGGGCACCACCAGCAGTAGCCACAGCCTTTTTTTTAGGATCATTGGCTTAAAAAAATGCGTGTGAAACAATTACGCCTCCAGATACAGGAGACTAAAATTTATTTCACCTTTACGTGTCAAATAACCATATGGCTTAACCCAGTGGTCGGCAAACTCATTAGTCAACAGAGCCAAATATCAACAGTACAATGATTGAAATTTCTTCTGAGAGCCAAATTTTTTAAACTTAAACTACATAGGTAGGTACATTGTTATTAACTTAATTAGGGTTCTCCTAAGGCTTAGGAAGAGCCACACTCAAGGGGCCAAAAAGCCGCATGTGGCTCACGAGCTGCAGTTTGCCGACCACGGGCTTAACCTACCAGGATTAAACCTTTTACTATTACTTGTCAAATTCTAATGAAAAGGTCTGCGGAAGTCTATTCCAGTCGCGCATTAGTTGGTCTGGATCAGTGGTTGGCAAACTGTGGCCCTTTGAGTGTGGCTCTTCCACAAAATACCACGTGCGGGCGCGCACATACAGTGCGATTGAAACTTCGTGGCCACACTCAAGGGGCCAAAGAGCTGCATGTGGCTCGCTAGCCGCAGTTTGCCGACCACTGGTCTGGATGATGACAGGACAGTGTGGGAGCCTCCCGGGTTTAAAGGATCGCACGGGACTGTTTCCAAGGCCCAGCACCCAGTCTGGCTTCTCCACCCTCGTGCCATCAGGGTGGTGTGTGGGTTCCCAACCCCACGGTCCATCCACAGGAAGGCAATTCTCCCACCTGGTGCAGAGCCCTTCCTGGCTGAGCAAAGGTCTTTTCGGATAAACTCCAAGTTCAAACCACACGCGGACAGGTGGGAATTCAGCCCCCACACCAAGGAGCAGAGGAGCCCAGGTTATCCAGAAGCTGTGTGTGCAGAGTCCAGGCATGTCTCTGAGTCTCACCCGAGCCGAGGGCCCAGCGAGGTTAAACTCAGGCTGTATGGGGTTCCAGCCAGCGGGCACTCCGGGGCTGAAGCATCACAACGTGTGAGACAGGAAAAGCTTTCTAGAACAATCCCGCACGTCTTCAGAGCCGAGGCGGGACCAGCAGCACTTACGACCTGGCTTCCTCCAGGTGCAGTTGGAATGAAGCTGCGTCTCACAGGCACACCTGGGCCCACAACGGGAGGAGGCCCCCAGTGCCTGCCTCTAGCCTCCCTTGCAGCCTCTGAGACCATCCACGTCCAGGGGAGCTCCCACAGCCCTCCTGGGCTCTCCACCCACCACTCCTGCAGGTGATTACCGCTGCCACCAGCACCCCATCCTCCCAGGCCCCATTCCTTCTTCCAGTGAACAGACACTGGTGCCCCAGCTCATCACCAAGAAGGCTGCAGCCTCGCCACACAGAAGCCAAGTCCAGACCAGGTGATGGAGAGCTCAGAGAGGGGCAAGGCTCAGGGCCCTCCTCTGGCCTCCGTCCACTGCAGACCCGGGGAGTGAGCCATTCGGCTCTGGAGTGGCGTAGCCTGTCACCCAGCTGTGCGACCACTAGTGGGCGACTCAGTCTCACGATGGGACAGGGAAGACAAGGTGTGTGTAGTGGGTCCAGCCCCCTCCTGTCTCTCCTCCACAATTCCTGGGCCAGTTACGGGAAACCTACCCCGGCTTCCCTGAGGCGAGAACAGATACCAAGGACGCAGTGCCCAGTCTCCACAGAGACATTTCTGAGGCACCTGGGTGTGGGCTGCCCCAGGCACAGGTGTCTCACTCTCTGGAGGAGCAGACAAGCGGGGCTAAACCACAGCTCCAGGCTAAAGGGTTTTCAGGAACAGCGGCACTTTGTTTAGCGAGTCCTTAGAAGTGACAGCCTGAGCCAGATCTACACAACTGCCTAGTGACACTAGCTACTCCCAACAGTAGACCTTTTGCTTGTCAAGTCACCTTTCTTTCTGAGAACATTAACTGAAGCAGGGGACAGTGAAAGAAGGAAGTGCTTAGGAGAATCTGGGAAGTCAGAGAAAAGGGGCCTTGGGGACAGGGTCAGGGGGTCAGCGGGAATGTGCTGCCACTGCCCACTGCTCCTCTGGCTACAAGTCCCATGGGGTCCCTTAGACCTCAGGAGGGAAAGGCGTGGGTGTGCTCCCGGGAGGAAGAGCTCAAGCCACCTTCTCAGAGGGAAAAACATTTATTTTCAAAATCTTGAAAACGTCAATGAAGAGCTCAAGTTCAATGCAAATCTAGGAAAATGAAGGTCCAATGCTGGGCCCAGAGGCCCTGCCCAGCTGGGAGGAGCCTCTGGGGCATTGTGCTCCTCTAAGCAAATGAGGGGACAGTGAGGAGGCGATGGTGGGAGGACAGCAGGGGAGCAGACACTCATCTAGCTCAGTGCCCACCTGCCACCCAGGGCACTCAACCAGGGAGCAGAGCCTATACCACACCACCCACTTTCTAGGAGCCACTCAGGTGCAGAGACTAGGAGGAGGGCGTCGGGTGGGGAAAGCTGCTGGACACTTGAGTCCAAGGTGTGGGTGCCCTGGGAGGCTGGCCGGACAGCTCGATCCAGTGACTGATCGGGACCAGCGTGGTGACAACTGCGTGACTCCACTTAGACTCGCTAAATAGAAAACCACAGACATACGTAATACTTTCAACAGTAAAGATTTTTAAAAAAGAGAGAGAGAAAACCACAGGCCCCAGGCGGCTCACTTGTGCTGGAAGCCCATGGCACCAAACCCTTACATCCAACAGCACAGTGCAGCCCTCGTAGGGTGCAGCTTTAATGGTCTGCCCCTCCTGATCCACACCAGGGGGTCATCTGCCCGATAGGCCCCTGCCTTCCCCTAGGGAAGGTGTCCTTGCCTGAAATGATCCACTCTTAACTTCTGCCTATGAGACCTTCATTCTATATACCCCTCGGAGAGAGACCTTCTAGTTCCCAAATGGGGTGCTCCCGGTCCACGAGGCACTTAATAAAGCCAATCAGATCTTCACATTTACTGTGTGGAATGGTGTATGTTCACAGACTGGACGGAGGGGCGCCAGGGAGCACAGCGCAGAGCAGAGGGTGAGGGCCCTTCTTCCCAACGCATCCCCAACGCTGAAATAAGGCACAAAGGGGCCTGCGGTTGGTCAGTCGCACAGGGACACAGGGTTAAAGTTAACGGACTCTTTGCTGAGGAACTGGAGGGTGGGGTCATCCACGAGGGGGAGCCACTGCCACGTTCCCAGTCTCCTTGGCCACAGGCCCTTTCTGGTCGCACGTCCCTGGAAACAGTGACCCTCCGACTTGGGCTGGTGCTGACAGATACTGGGCCACACGCTGAGCTTCTGGCCCATGGGCCTGGGCTGGGCTGACAACTTGCCTCCCTATCAAGTGCCCAGGGGACACTCCGTCAGAGCTGGCAGCTTGGCTCTTGGGACCCTCTGCCTAGGTCCCCACAGACGCCCCTTCTCGCCCTGCCCATACCTCCTGTGGCCTGTGGGTCACAGGTGTCTTTAACTTTTAGCCGTATCTGCCTCCCATCTCAGGCCTCGTTTTTCCGGCCTGGACTTGGACGGTGTCCAACCCCTTTAAGATAACCTTATTTGGCTAATAGTTAAGTTAATCACGCCACCAGGTACGGATGTGATGTTTCACTTTCAGAAGTAACCCTTCTTACCTGCTGGTTCAACGAAGGAACAGTTTGCAATATTTTAATCATAGTTTACGATTTTTGTATTCCAGAAACTAAACTGAACAAAAATAAAAATATGCAAAAAATAGGTGATCAATGTCTTACCAGAGCTACCTGCATTTTAATTGACATATCTGTTTCTGTAACCAAATAGCAAGTGAGAACTTAAAAACTCTCTATATTATTGAAATGCCTGTTTGTTCTCAAAGAAAAGACTTAAACAAACAAACAAACAAACCCTGTCAGGAGTTCTCTGCCTCAGCTGTGACCAGTGCAGAACTCAAGGGACTTAAAACATCAGATCAGAGAACAAA